ATCTTACTATAAAAAGAATGTCCTGCATGTTTAGTCCCCTCGACTCTGATACATTTAAATAAAATCCTGTAAAAATCAGCTATCACATATTAATTTCAATAAGACCTTGTATCGTCTACCTGCTCATTTTTGAACAGGTAATGTAAAACTGCATGTCAATGGGGCATGCTAATTTGTTTTAATTATTTTTTTTCTGTTTTTAGTTTTTGACTGTTTGAAATAAATAAATAAATAAATAAATAAATAAATAAATAAATAAATAAATAAATAAATAAATAAATAAATAAATAAATGGGGTCCACTTGAGCTGCTAGCTGCTCTGTAAAGCTCCGAGTGGATTTATTAAAGAACATTAGTGAACAAACAGCATCTTGAAGACCAAGGAACAACATGACTAACTTTATAGTTAGTCATAAAGTTTTGGAGAATTTCAAATTAGGATTAGATTATAAAACAGTATCCAGAACTTTGAACCTCTTAGGGAGAAAAGTTCAATCTTTCGCTGGAATAGGGCAATACGATACTGAACAGCCGCTCAGCTAATCTGACACACCTGACTAGGAGACCATTATAAGGAGATTCAAGATTTCAGACAGTGGTACAAAGAACACTTATCAACTGTGTGCTGCTCAAACTTTGGAGAGCATGGTAAAATGAACGCTACTGTTGTGCAAAAGCAAAATCCCATTCAAAGTTTGCCACTGGCTACAAAGAGAATTCAGCAACACTGTGAAAGAAAGTGTTCTTGTTATAACGAAACAAAACTGGACACTCTGACTCAGATGGAAAAACTTCAGTGCCTACCACTGCACATCACACTTTCACATCTACACATGGTGGTGGCAGCATTATGCTGTGAAGAAGTCAGGGGAAAAAACATGTGAGATTTCGCTAAAGAGCTGAGACATGGAAAGTGATCCAGCATGGCCTTTACTTTAAATATACAGCTTGACATTTGATACATACAGTGATTTAGATGAAACTGTATCTGTGTTAGAATGGTACAGTCAATTACCACTGACTGCACTTAAATCAAATTGAGAATCTGTGGGACAATTTCAAAACAGCTTTTCACAGATGCTCTCCATGCAATTTGACTGAGTTTAAGCTTTTGCAAGA